TCTATTCTCTTCCCCAGAAACATCCCACAGCTTTGGAAAAGCTGCATCTGTGGCCAGCACTGAAAAGTCAGATTTAATATGTACATCGAGATTTGAGCTTTTATTTAAAATAAGGGACCCAAAGATCTGACAACACCGGGCCCATAGTTCTGCACACCAGTGATTAGGTGGCGTTGAAGTATCGTTGTTCCTGTTGAAAGTGGCCTCTTGACTTTTACACTCCACAATATCCATTCTCTCTTTCGCTCACTAAGTCATTCTGGACCATCTTTACATACCAGAAACTGCTCCACAAATGGATAGAAACGGCGGTTTTGCTGGGTCAAGTGGCACAGACATGTAGCACCAACTGTTATGGAGGCTGAAGGAGGACGGTCCGAAGTTCAAGGCCTTCTGGGGCTGCAGAATGAGTTCAAAGCCAGACTGGAAAACCTGGCGAGACCTTGTCTCAAGGTGAAAAAGTAAAGAGGGGTGTAGAGCGCTTTCTTAGCTTAACTGAGGGCCTAGGGTCAACCCCAAAACTATGGTGTGGGGGAGGTTCTGTTGAAATGAGCTAGGTGGACGGACTCATCCATTCACTCAGCTGTTCACCGAGCATTGTTTGTATTGCACTGGATTCCGGGTATATGGAAACAAAATAAAACTTATAGTGGGGGTGGAGGGCCTGGACAGCAAACTAAACAATTACATTGTGTGCTATGAGACAAACGCAATAGAAGTGGAGTTGAAAAGGAGGAACGAGAGGTCCCAGAGCTAAGGAGGGGGGAACGAGAGGTCCCGGAGCTAAAGAGGGGGGAACGAGAGGTCCAGGAGCTAAGAAGGGGGGAACAAGAGGTAATGGAGCTAAGGAAGGGGTTCAAGAGGTCCCTGAGTTAAGGAAGGGGGAAGCGGTTTTAAGGACTGATATTATGCTGAAATGTTTTTTATTTTTATTTTTCATCATAAATGGACAGATTGCAATAATGTGCACTTACCAGTCACAAAGTGATGTTAGACTGTGAAATATGGGGTGCTGAGATAAAATGAACTGACCTCCCCCATCCTGTCCTTAACATTTTCTGTGCTAAAAATACTTGTGTTTTCTCTCTTAATTATTTTTTCTTTCTTGATCTTAGCAATCCTTTCTTCTTTCTTCCTTTCTTTCTCTTTCTTTTTAAAGATCTATTTATTTATTATGCTTTTTAATTAACTTATTTATTTTATGTACTTTGGTGTTTGGTTATGTGTGTTTGTATGAGGGTGTCAGATCCCCTGGAACCGGAGTTAAAGACAATTGTGAGCTGCCATGTGGGTGCTGGGAATTGAAATCAGGACCTCAGGAAAAGCAGCCAGTGCTCTTAACCTCTGATCCATCTCTCCAGCCATTTTTTTCCCTCCCTTCCTCCCTCCCTCCCTCCCTTCCTTTCTTCCTTCCTTCTTTCCTTTCTTCCTTTCTGTCTTGTTTTTTGAGACATGGTTTCTCTGGGTAGTCCTGGCTGTTCTGGAACTCACTCTGTAGACCAGGCTGGCCTCAAACTCACAGAGATCCACCTGTTTCTGCCTTCCTAGTGCTGAGATCAAAGGCGTCTGCCACCATTACCCAGCCTTAATGATTTTCAAATACAAATGGTCTTCAGCCTATGATGAGATTGTATCCTGATAGACCTATCATAAGCTAAAACATGTACTTGCCTTAACTTACCCAGATCACAGCTCAGCCTGTTCTGTCTTAGACATGTTTGGACTTATTACCAGCTTATATACAGTAGAGCAAAACCATCTAACATGAAGCCAAGTTCATAATGAAGTGCTAAGTAGCCCATGGGATATATTCAGTACTGAAAGCAGGTGGCTGTGCGGGTGTGCTTCCATGCCCCTGTGAAGTCAACACTCATGAGCCAGGGACAATCTGTACATAAGACAGACACTATTGTCAACCACAGTCACCATGCTGCGGGAATATCTCCAGCAATGACTTGCTCCTAACTGAAGCTTCCTGCTCTTCAATCAACATCTCTTCATTCCCCACCTCTCAAGGGTATGTGCTGCTCTTATTAAAAGGGCAATTAGGAATCTCCTGAGGGGGAGTTACATCTGGATAGAAACCTTCAGGGGACAGCCATCTGCAGCAGAGATATCTTCAGAGAACAACAGAGGCCAAGTCCTGAGGGAGGAGGGTGCCTAGGGTCTAAGAGGGAGTGCAGCCATGGAGCAGTAAGCATGGGGACAGTGGGAGATTGAGAGTCAGTTCTCTGTGGGTTTGCGCTTATGTGTAGCTTAGGAGCTTTTGTGAGAGTGTCTCAAAATGTATAGGAAACACAGCTGGCCTGGGGGATGATGTCTGTCATCCCAGGAATATTTTACTAAGCAATGGAATGTCTCCTTTCAGGGTAAAGGCTGCCTAGTTTACTTATGGTTACCCAAGATCCAGGTTTTCCAAGCCCAGGGTCACCCTGTTGTGGTTCAGTGACCCCTTTGGGTCAGCTCCTCATTGACTACATGGACTTGGGCAGCAAGCAGAACTGATAAGCAAGATATCCACTGCTCACTTTCAGGAAACCATGAGGAATAAAGTCCTTTGTCTTGGCCTGTGGAGACTCATGTCTTGTGCGGTGCCCTCAAGCGACAGTTGTAAGGACTAAACAACCCCTCACCATTGTTGGACCAATGGGATGACTCAGTGGGCAAGGGGGCTTGCTTCCAAGTCCGACCACCTGAGTTTAAATCTTGGTAGCCACAGGGTGGAAGGGAGAAGCAGCTCCTACAAGCTGTCCTCTGGCCTCCAGGTGCTTGCTACACACACACACACACACACACACACACACACACGTAATTAAATCAAAAAGATCCCTCACCATTCTTGACAAAGGGATGAGATCGGAAACAAAAAAAAGGGGGGTGACAGAAGGAGGGACTGGAACCCTGGGGAGCTCTCCCTTAAGTCAAGAATCTTAGCAAGAGACAGCCCTTGGGACAGGTGCCTTCTCAGCAAGCCACAGCCTTATAGGTGAATCAGGTGGAAAAAGCAAATGGAAGCCCCTGGGCCCTATAGCTGCCAAGCGAGCCTGTCAGCAGCCCAGCTGTGGGAAGCTCAGAGCATCTGGGCTGGGATGAGTGCCACAGCTCTGAAGGGGCCAGGCCTGGCACCCTGTCCATTGCTAGACTCCGCTGCAATCCTGTCTCCTAGGGCGGGTTGTCTAGTTGCCCAGAGAGAAGAACGTTTTATTCCTGTACGGCCTGGTATAGCCCCACCTGCAAAGCCAAAAGGAGCGGAGGAGCCGAGACAGGGAACTTGCAGGTAGCCTTGCTGTTTTCCTATGACCCGCAATTACCCGCTCCTGCCCAGAGAGACAGAGACAGACAGAGACAGAAAAAGCCCACGGAGCCTATGTCTCCCACTTCCAACACCTCTCTCTCTCTCCCTTCCCGCCAAAGTGTCCTCCTCAACTTCAGGGGCCGCTCACATTTAACGGGCAACAGATCTTGCTCTTTCTTTTAACTAAGCAACAGCATGTGCTCACTGGGCACATCTCCAAACTGCAGCCTGTGATTAGTGGGCAAGCAGAAGTGGGAGGCAGAGTGCTGAGTTTCTGAGACCCCCTCAGCCCACAGGGCCAATCAGGATTTTAACTCTTCCTAAGGACTCGTCTCTCTGGATGTCCCTGTGAAGACCCGCAGGCCGACTTCCTTGGGGTGTCTCTCCCAGGCTGGAAGGAAACACCTGGATGGGACAGGGCAGTGAGGGCAGTAACATTGTTCCTGGGGAGCCTGGGAGAGTCTGAGGGTCCTGGATGCCCAAGGACCGCAGGAACTGAAGCCTGACCTTGGTGTACCTTTCACAGGTGACCAGATGTCTTGGAAACAGCGGGAGGCTGTAGTAGCAGGCCTCTGAGGGGTGCTGAGGCCCTGCATCTCGACCCCATCACTGGGGCTACTGGTCTGAAGGACTTACACCTCTGTGCCTCCATTTTACTTTATTTACCTACTTACTTACATGGCCTGGGATGGAACCCTGGGCTTCGCGCCGTGCTCTGTCACTGAGCTGTACCCTCAGCCCTCCTCATCTTTAAAGGAGACACCATTGCAGCACCTGTCACATAGGATAGGGAGAAAGACTATGCCAGGGATGACACCTGCCTGGAGCTAAATCCGTGAGTGAGGACAGGCCCACACCGGGCTCCTCCACGATTCTGGGCACCTTTTGCCACACAAAGTCCCCAGGTCTCTGCTCTCTCATCCTAAGTCATACGCCCACTGTCCTGCTTGTTTGCACACTGGGCTCCTTCCCCTGGGGGTGTTCCTGGACCCCACCTTTACACACAAGCCCTCCCTACCTCTGAAGCCTCACCCTGGTCTCACCTCATCCTCCCCATAGCTGACGCATATCCCCGAGTCTTGTTTCCCGATGGAACTAGTGTGTCTTACTGTCTGTCTGTGTCAGACACCCAAGGCAGGAGGCCAACATCTCAGGGGCAGAGGATCCCCCCACCCCGTGTGTGTGTGTGTGTGTAGTATCAGATAGCCCGGCATTACACTAGCTAAATACCCAGAAGCAAGATGGACAGATGATGGTCTGCAAGCGGCATAGCTAGGGATTCAGGAATCTCTAGGGAATCTCCCTGTACACTTATCCCTTCTGCAACCTGCTTGCAGCTTGTTCCCCTGTGACCTCTGTCTATTCCTAACCTAAGAGGGGTAGTGAAGCTCTTACCCAGCCACCCTCAAATTGCCGAGAGAATCGCGACCACACAGCATTGGCATTAGCCTCATTGTCGCCAGCAGGTACAGAGTTCAACGGACAAAACAAGGGGGGTATCCTCATGGGACCTCGGGGTCCTCGCCTCATCTGAAAATCGGTTGAACAGAAATAGCTGGAAGAAATCTTAGTAGTTACCACATCAGCATAAGCCTTCGAAGACTCGGGTTCCTGAGGTTTCTCTTTCCGGCATTCTCCTCCCTGGCTAGCATCTAGGTTCTGTCTCTCCCAACGCCCCCAAGGCACCACCCCAGTGGACACCTACCTCTGCTGAGTTGCAGTTGTCCACTGTCCCAGATCCTCCAGCCAATGGGCTCTGAGGTCCTGCATGGGAGGCCAACAGCCCCAAAAGACCAGCTATCCCCAAGGAGCCAAGGAGAACTTGCAGATCTATCTGATTGTGGGCTCAGATCTTCAGAGAAAGCTCTGCCTTACACAGCCAGTCCTGCCCCTCCCCTTCCTTCCCCTTCCCCTTCCTCAGGGCCCTCAAAGCCCCTCCCAGGCATATCCTGCTGGGCTGTCTTTTTTTTTTTTTTTAAAGAAGTGGGTGTGGTGACCCACTGTCCCAGGGGGTTCCTCATTTTGACTTACTACTACAGAGGGTCCGGAGGGAGGGAGGGGTATTTCCACAAGGATCCACTCTCAGACTTAGGAGGATGCAATGCAGTAGCCTAGGTTTCCCAGAGGTCCAGGTATCCCCCAGCTGTGTCCTACCCACACTGGGCATCTGGGCCAGATGCCCTGCAGGCTCCTCCCACTCAACATGTACAAGCCGAACGATTTCACTCCAAACCTGCATCTCTGTCTCTCAGCTCAGAACAGAAACCCCAAGTCATCACAGTACCTGCCCCAATATTTGCATCTGAGCCACACCAAGTCCCCTCAACACTACTTTCCTCATCCCAAAAGCAGACACCGTGGGCTTTGTCCTGAGCCACGGCAAAACCGTTCTTGATCTCTTTCCCTTAATCTCACTGACTCCTCCATTGGTAAACGGTTCTGGCTCTGGAGAGAAGCAGATTGCCAGGCTGTAATTTAAGCACCTAGATCCAGCCATGCCTGAAACCCCATTGCCTCATCTAGTTCTACGCCGCTCAGCTATGTGACCCGATGAGGTCCCTGCTTTTTAAAGACTAAGTCTGTCTGAGATAGGCCTCGGTCACTTGCAGCCTTGGGACCATGAGGTTACAGGGTTTTATTTGTTTGTTTCCCTGTGGGGCCTTCACTGGGTCCTGTCCTCACCCTCATTTTGTAGAGGAAACCGTAAGAAAAACACAGTTCCAGAGATGTGTATTATTTTTCCCCTCTGGCTCTGCCCCCTCCCATTACTTTCTTTCCTGACTCTTCCAGGTGACCAACATTAATCCTATCAGAGTCTATTCATTGGTGTTCTGAGGCTGTACGCCTCCCGTGAGTTCTGGGGTAGTACCAGTCAGGTTAGCTCTTCCATTTATGTGAGAATGCATGGCTCATCCAATAGAGCAAACGGAAAATGAATGCATGAATGACAGGGAGCATGAATGGCTGGACTGAGTAAGCCCAGTGTGAGAGAGAGGCTCCAGCCAGCTGCGGCAGCGTGGACCAGTGTGGACCACCCAGGGTGGCCACTCGCCTTATCAGCCTTGGTCTAACTGAATCGGAAATCACAAGCCGGGCCTTGGCTCTTGTGGCTGCACCGCTCTTATCAGCTGCATTTCTGCAGCTGGTGTGGGTGTGGTAGCCATGCAAGGGACAGCTGGGTGACTGCAGACAGCCCCAGCGCTATCCCTTACACAGAGGACTGGAAGCATTTTCCGCTTTGAAGATGTGCACCCGTTAGACAGTCAGAAAAAGGACAGAGTGGAAAAGGAGGCAGAGATGAGAAAGTTCTGCCCCCAACCCTGCCCCTGGGTACAGCCCGGCCTCTCTCCAGGCTGGTAACACAGAGTTTGACCCAACCAAGGGACTTCTTACTTCCCCTTAAGGTTTGTTTTATCTGAGCTGTCTAAGCCACGCTGTTCAGGGATCTCTCATCTGCACCCATCTCCCGTGCCAATGGGAACAGTGATTCCCCCGATTCCCCTGGTTCCAGCTCATTTTGCCCAGGGAAGACATCTGATTCCAGGCCATATAGGTCCTTTCCTTCATAGGTGTGGGTGGGTGGGGGGTAGGGATGCCCAGAGCCACCCCAACTCTGTCCCCCTACCCTTCCAAAGATTTCAGGGGACTAGATCAAGCCAGCTCAGCCTGAAGCTACCAGGTTTCCTTCCAGGCTCCCTTCAGCTTGGGCAGCACAGACTTGCCTGGGGCAGGAAAAACCTATTCTACCAAAGTTTCCCCTCCTCCACCCTTCTGCCCTCCCCCCCCCCACACACACTGCTGATGGTGTAGAGAATGTCACTTCCATCATGAGACCACAGATCTCTTGAATCCTATCACAATGAAGCTAGATGCAGATACATACATGAACTTTGCTTTTCTGGGCCTCAGTTTACTCTTGTGAGATACTGAGAGGGACACATAGCTTCGTGGTTAGGTACCACGAAGATGGAGGCTACCATATTGTCTGTGGGACCTTAAGTAAGTTATTCAACGTCTCTGGCCTCAACTTCTCTACCTGTAGAATTGGTGTAACAGTACCAACCTCCCAGAGGAGGCACACATGAATTCACATGAGCATGAGGGTCCAGAACACTTGGCCCGTGCAGAGATAAGTACCGGGTCACTGGGAGGCCCTGCTCAAGTGACCACGACTAAGAGGCTGAGCCTTCCACCACTACCTCCCTAGATCTCTCCGGGGGTACATGGGGCAGCTGGGGCCACAGCTGCCTTTCCAGGGAGCACTCAGAGCCTCAGGTGTGCCTGCTAGCTGAACACAAAGGAAGAAACTACCAATAGATAGAGCCACCTGCTCGCTGTGCTTCTGGTGGGGGCAGAGGACACTTTGTCCCCCGAGCAGCTTTTTCTTAGACTTTATTGAAAGGGTTAGATAGAGATTCAGATATGTGGGTAAAGGAAGAATAGACCCCCCCCCTCCCCATCACACACAAGGAAACAGGAAGTCCCTGGAGAGGTAATGGGCCACTTGGTTTCTGTGTGTCGTGCCTTCCCGGTCCCCCAACTGAGACTCAGCCATTGTTTCTTAGGTGCCTCCTTTTCAGGAAGGTTCCGAGGCCCTCACAGACGTAGCAGAGCTGACTACAGCTCTGGCTTTCAGCTCACAGCACCCCTGGGGACAGACAGATTTCCTGAACTACAGACTCAGTAGCACAATCCCCTTTTACATACTTCCTCTCAGACATCCCACAACACCCCTGAGACTAGACCTGCCGTGCCTTTAGGGGTAAGGAGTAGTTTGCAGATAGATGTGTAAGGTGACTAGGGCTGCCCACAGAGGATAGCGTGTTTTATCACACAGGTCCAAAGTGCCTGAGAGGCGCACAGTGCAGACCTGGACTCACCCCACTGCTTGCAATAACGCCACACACATCTTAGACCAGGTGATCCCTAAGTGTCTGTGGCTGCGTGGAAAGAACGCATGCTCCCACTTTTATTCCACTGAGCTCTTGACAGCACGACGGCCGACTGATGCCATTGCGATCTCCTTAGAGCCAAAGCGATTATTCTGGGATGCTGGAGCTGGCAGCCTCCCTTGTCCAACACTCCCCTTTCCCTCCTTGTGACCCAAGTGGAAAGAGTCCTCAGGTGTGCAGGGCATTATCGACCTCTCTTCCCTTGCTCTCCCTAGTAGGATGGATCCAGGTCCTCTCTCTCTCATCAGAGACAAGAACCTCAGGCCCATCTCAGCCTAAGAGACATCAGGACATTCAAGGTAGGTTTCTCAAGTGAGTGATACAGAGAACTCCACTGTAGAGATGTAAAAGAGTCTTCCTTCTGTGGGTGAGCGTGTGTGATGAGGCTGAAACGAGGAGTGTCAATGAAAATTTAGCACAAACACGTGTTCTATAGAGAGGAAAATTACAAATAAGCAAAATAATCCCCCAAAGCCTTACTTCTGCTACATGTGAAATACTTTTAAATTTTATTTTTTGTGTGTGTGTGTTTAGTGTGTGTTTCTGTGTGAGTCAATGCCACGTGTGGGAATGCTTCTGGAGGCCAGAAAAGGGCATCAGATCTCTTGGCGCTGCAGTACAGGCGGTTGTGAGCAACCCTATGCAGGCGCTGAGCATTTGAGTCCTCTGGAAGAGCAGCAAGCGTTGCTGAACCATTCCTCCAGCCCTGAATTCATAAATGCAAACTCTAAACAGTTCAGTGACAGGCTCCATACTTGTAGGTCATTAAATATACAATAAATCAATTTTATTTGATAATAATATTAAATTCCTTTCATTGATTCATGCCATGTTGATCATATGGTAGAACAACACGTTCACACAGCAAGTTAAAGTACACTGAAATACGTGGCTGTTCCAGAACCCGGCAGATACGCGGACGGCTAGGATGGAGGACACAATGGCTCTGTCCACAGTCTCTCAAGTCATGAGCACTCTGGAGTTTCACGGGCTCCTATAAGCCCAAGATCTTTGGAGCAGAACAGTTCTGGAGGGCCAGAAGAGGGACTCTGTGCAACTTGTTTAAGTAACAAGGTTCCTTACCTGCCTGTGCTAGCCCAAGTCCTGGTCCAGCCTGCCACCTTATCACCCCGGCCACATTCTGTCGACCTTTTGAGGCCCTCCAGTCCAGCAGGCTTACATTTCAGGTTCTTGGCCTATTGCGGGCCAGTCCTTCCGTGTGCATGAGTGCCCTGTCTCCACCCTTTGATATTCACCTTTCTGCTCCTCCGAGATCTTGTCCAGAGAACACAGCTGAGAGGAAGTGAGGGCACTGGGACCAGTCTGCTAGGGAAGTGGGGGAGGATTCGTACCCAGGTGGCCTTTCCTGACTTCTGCTCTCCCTCATCCATAGGTGGGGAAAGGTAAAACGGGGACTATCGTGAAGCCATGAAAGTCCTTGAGGTCAGAGGAGGGGCATCAGCGGCAGAGGGCAAGGCACCCAGTCTTTGTCGGGCAGCTGCTAGGAGCCAGACTCTGGGCAAGGTTCTTCAAGGGCCCTCCCTTTGAGGATCTACTTCCCTTTTACTTTATACTGAGGAAACGGAGGCTCAAAGAAATGTATTAACTTCCTCTGGTCGTTTAGCTAGAAAGGAACCAAGCTTGTCCTGAGACTCAGAAAGGGGCTCAGAAGAGAAACCGTACCAGGTCCTAGCAATGGATCGAATATTAGTGCTGTTTTTCAAGGGATCCAGGGAACTCGAGAGAGAAAGCGTGTGAGTGAGTGTCTGTGATGGCGGTGGTAGGATAGAGATGGTGTCAGAGGCCATGAAGAAAGGTCACAGCCGTCTTCCTCCTCTCTATGCCTTAGAGAGACTGACCTCTAGACAGAGTTCCCAAGTCTTTGACAAA